GACGAGTCCCATACAGGACGAAACAGCTGTCCAGTGCTATTTGTTGCTTATCACAACCATTTCCATCGCACAAATATGCATCTTTAGTTATATTTTTAACTTTAAAAAGTCTGAACACTTGGAAGCCGTATGGAAATATCAAGGATACATTGTATATTCGCATGCGCATCTGAATACCACAGTCTCTTGTTAACGCAAATTCCTTATCAGTAGCAGCTATGCTTCTATGAAATCAAATACTCATTATAACAGCTGAATATCAATTTAGTAACCATCTAATTGGACGCAGTGGACAACCCACATTAACCATTCGTCACAGGCTTGATTTTAAACGCAATTTTGGCTGCGCCGTTAGAAAACCATAATTGACTCTGAGTATATTCCTATGTGCGATTAGCAGCTTACAGGGGCCGCGTATATTTGTGGTCTTTGCAGATATGATACATGTTCTCAAGAAACCACGTAACCAGCCTGGGTTGTGCCGAGCGATTCTGCTCTTATCGTAAATATGAGTACAGACATCAAAAGAGACATAACCAGTCATTCAGAGACATTGTGAACCCGAGACACTTCATGAATTCCTTTACGTATTCTTTCTTTTCGTTTAAAAATCCCTTTTTGGGACATACAAAGATACAACTTTTAGGGAGAGATAAGTGATCAATCAAAGGGCTGCCATGCAACACACAATGGCGAAAGTCAGGCGGTGGTGATGGGATTCGAACACATCCCCGGGGTGATTTAGTGACGTTTCCACCAGTCCTCCGCCGGTCATTGATCAAGAATAAGTCAACCATGGGTTGAATACCACTCTTGCTTCAAGTTAATAACCTAGGAAGTACCCGGTAGGGATAACTGTGAGTTATTCTTATCAGCACCTGTATCACTAACTGAACTAAAAGAATCGCACATATGTAACCAGGCTGTAAAAAGATGCAACAGGATTATCAATGTTGAAACAAAGAGAAGCACTTATGCAATGAAGCTGACTAACGAAGGAAGAAGCTGTAAGTAGCTGGTAATCGCCATTGGCATTGTGGATAGAATGTAGTAGTCAAACCGGGAATAATACCGAAAAAGTGCAATTTCTGTTAACTAGTAAATGAAGTCAAATTTGCTACTCAGATGAACTACTGCTAATACTTTCACTGTATCCGGGTACCGTTGTTAAGTATCTTCTGAAGTGTGCGTTTGAATGTCAGAAATATATAGGCAATGGTATTAGGTTCAAAGGAATCGGTGTTATTCGAGGTGACCTCGGTCTAAATAGAATTTACTCAGTATACTATTGCGGGCCTATGGATTAAAACCGCTCAACCAATGAATCAAGTCAACATTCACGCCTGGGCATGGTGGCCGATTTTTCAATCCACCTTGACGTGATTCGCTCCCTTACCCGGCTGACTTAAGTCAATTTCCGTCGGGTTCGCTCATTCTTGTCTAAACCTCACTTGGTCACCGGCAAAAGACAGAGTTCTTGGGTTAGGGGACGAACAGGCGAAACGTTCATTCTCACATGGTAACTTACTCAAAAGTACTTTCGTTCGTCAGTGGAAATCAGTTCACTCGGACTGGACGAGTTTGACAGACCCCGCCCAATCGGTAACGTGTGACAGATGGAGCACCGGTCACTGTGTAGGGTTCCCGTTGAATGCGACTGGTGGGACTCACTTGAAGTTATAACGAATTCGCTTGAAGTTGTTATCTGTTCAGCACACGCTTTGAGTTCGAATCACCGCTAGATGGAAAACATCAGGTGTCCTTTAGTGTTCGTGTTTCTGATTCCTGTTCCGGTTCTATCAGCGTTACTCCTCGGGTTCCACAAAGGTTTTCACTTGGCCCCTTGTATTCATAAATGATCTACCGAATGTTCTGGGGCCAAAAACAATACTGTTTGGAGACGAAATCCGGAGTACAGTAATACAGCTCGCTATCCCTTCCAAAAACACTGAACGCAGTTTATCAATGGTCTTTGGTGAATGCCATTGAATATCATGTTATTAAATGCAAAGTCCTGTTACTACTTCACAGGACTAGCTCGCCGTATTTCCTCGGAAATCATCAGCTGCACATACCGAAAGTGATAAGGATCTAGGTATGATTGTTCAGCAAGAAGTAATCTGTTTGATCCATTGCGCCAGGACTTTATCCGCTTCTGTGAGGAGTGCCAGCTTTTTTAGACGCGTCTTTGGTCGGTTTGAATCAGCACTGTTCCAATTTTTGTTACCATGGTACATTCGACTGTATACAGAGTACGCCATCCAAGTCTGGAGTCCATGGCCACATCACGATCGTAAGATGACGGAGCAGCAAAAAAGGATTGTCACCAAGATGGTCACGGGGAGAAATTACAATCACTGGGACTATATTCTACACGGAAACACCGAAGTTGAGAAGATTTGATTTTGTTGTTACAATCGTTGCAGAACCCAAACCATCCATATCCTCCGCTGCTCTCGTTGTCACTCAAAATCCACCTTAGGGGATATCGTCTCACTTTAGTGATTCCAAAGTGTTGACTTGAATGCCGACGTCAATCTTTTGCTGTCGGAGTGTGCACCACTTGGAACGCCCTTCCATTCATTTCACTTCGTTTGTGCGTCAACTGTCGGGTCTTTCAATTGTCTTTCATTCTGTCGCATGATTCTACATTATGGCTTCATGTGGTTTATCATCTCACCGTGCCCCCCCCCCCCCCTCTCCTTCGATCGGGGACGACCGATTTCCTCAATCGCTCAGTAAATAAGATTCAGTGGAGCAATATATTTAGCCAGAATGGTTTCAATTCATTAAATGATTCCATAAAGTGGGCGAGGAGAAAGTGGGAGATAAGAAAATACGAGTTATGGGGAGATGTATTGATGACTCAGAGCGACGGGAAACTCAAGTAAATCATATCAAACCATCCTTTAAAATCTATTTTCCACTAACTACCACTCGGAAAGGAATTTATGATAAACAGTAATAAAACGTATTATAGGCGTTAAATAGTTTTTTGTATTGGTTGATAAAAGCAATGGAAAGCTGTTTCATCACTGCTGGAACTTATCAGCAGTAGTGCCGTGTAGCTCCGGAGTAAGGGTTGCGGATGATAACGTGAAGGTTTAGGGTTTTCGAATGTTTTACTATTTATTCATTGAATAAAGGTTTATATTGTTAGTTTTTTGGGAAGGAGAATATCGCTTGGTGGGATACAGGAATAGATAGACTGAGTGGCTGCGGCGGGATTTCTTATTTCTTAATTTTAACCCCTTGAGTTTTGACAGGGAAGTAAAAATCTTGTGAATTGGTGCTGGGTCCCAGCGAATCGAAAACAACAACAATCGACGCTCTTTCTCAGCTATCACACAAGGGCTTCCATTGCAAGCAATTGCATGGCTTTTCATACTTCAGAAAATGTATTGTTTAGCGCTCCAGATCGATTGTGGTTGAGCCTATGATAATGCTGTTTACAGTGGGGTTGTTTGAAACGGATTAGATTTCTAGTTAACCCTAACCCGGTTTACCGGAATACTGGTCATACAACAGTTACATGGTGTGAAATACTTGATTCAAAGTGGCCATTTATTCTATGTCCTCGTAAGTACTTGCAGAACTCTGATCGAATGTGTGAGCGTGTACTTAACATGGTGTGAACTTCAGCCGTAACATCCGTTTCATTCGGTCATTTAAATGACTGTATTGTATCCGAGTGAAAGAAGCCGAAGCTGGTTTAGGTGCAAACTGGAACGAACAGCGAAGCGATGCTGAACACTGCCGAATACTTGCACTCACGATGATGAAAACACCCATCTGAATAGTAGCTACAGTGAACTTTTTCCGACTGAGAAATTCTGGCTGGCGATACTGAATACCCGAAATAGGCGAGTGAACAGTGATCCGAGCCGGTTTACTTGTCGGTTAGGGGCATTAATTTATACAGTTGAGTTTCATAAACGGAGACGCTCCAGCATCCGGTCCCCTGGAAACTGAAACCATATAAGACCAAATTTGATTTTCCCGACAAAGATGAATTTTAGCGCTTGTTATCCTTATTGAATTGTTTCATGCACTCCATTGGAGAGACCATCATAAAATTTGGTGGGATTCAAACCATGTTTGTTCCATCAGTTGAAATGAGAAGCTACATTGACAGTTCCGAACTTTTCCTATTCCAATAGCAGACATTCCGACACACCGACAAGCATGAAAAATGACAATCGTGAAAGTTGTTTCCCAAGATTAACTTAAATTTAACAAAAGGATTTGCAAACTTGAAGATTGATTTACCATCTTAGTTCCACGGAAAATAACTACCTCTCGGATGAAATCAGTTGATTTATGAAAGACCAATCGGATTTTAACGCTATTTGATAAATCCTTCTTTCGAATTTTTTCGTTCTAAAGTAAAAATGTGTATATGAGATACATTGTGGTTTGGTGCACGAGATGTTGAAGGCAGCTATTCAGTTAAATACAGATTCTTGGACTGATGGACTCCAGCGACATCCTCGAGCCGTGACAATGGGATGAAAAGATTTGTCTTCACTGTGAGGCGACTAGAGAAAACCCACAAATTCATCGCGTCTAGGAAGGTCTGAACTAAACTGAACTGTAATGCAGAGTCACTGTTACTCATGGAAAGTCCCAATGGGAGTCAACCCAAACATCGGAGCCCGAGGAAGAAACCAATAATAAGAGCAAGTTCGAATGATTTCAAGCAAAAGCAAATTTGACAATGGAAACATGGAGAGGGAAAATGCTAATTTTATGAATTCAAGGGAAGATAGTTTGAGAGAGGGAGCCCGGGCTTCAATGCCTTAGCGCATTAAGTTTGAAATGACAGCAATTCTCCCACAAAGTAAATTGGCCCAGTTATCCACTAACTCACCGAGGACAGCGAAGCTCGTCGTCCACATTTAACCCAGCTCTGCGGCATGTACTCTGAGGACGTTTGTCAATCTAAAATTCGGGGGTAGCTGACCATCAGCCTGAAGTCTACATACTCCTTACGGATTTTGCAAACCCTTGATTTATTTGGCTTTCTTGGTATCTCCAGTGAAAATAGTGGCAGTAAATCTTCTATATGGCTCTCTTTTATCCTTCGTTTCACTGAAGCTTCAACTCCATGTACAGGACCATAATCTGAACAGTCTTGGTTTACAGTTGCAAGATATTGGAACTGCCTGTAGAAGAGATCCATTAACAAAATATTTTCTACCATTGACTTTACGAAGTTAGACGACAGTAGAATATAGGAATTCGGTAAGTAAGAAGTGTGATTGGAAAAGTTTGGATTTAATTGGAATGAGCAGGCTTCGCGGATTGCGACACTTATTACAACTTATTTCAATTGCAGTTACGGATTCCACGGGAGAAAAACAAGTGGAAGTAAAAAAATGACATGGAAACGAAGGACGAAATCTATGAAAAAAGATGTTCCTCTTCTTCCAGATTTGAGGCTCACATAACTGCAGCTAGTTGTTTGAATACACTGAAGGACATGACAGCGGAAAGCTAACAGTGACACTTCTGTTGTCATTAATTAACAAGCCAAAATACTTGTAAAAATATGTGTGTATACAGTTAAACGTTGTACTCTGTGAGGTAATCATACAGTTTAGATTTCTTTGCTCTTCCCTCAAGACCGAACCAATCCCTATCCACCTTACTTGATTGTGAGTTTGACAGCGATCAGTAAAGTTCTCTATGGTTGTAAAAAGGGAAAACTGAACTGAACTCATTTCACTGCACCATGACGATGATGATAATGATTAGGATGTTGATGATGATAACGCATCTGTTGAAACGGTTTTAAGCTACTCTCACTACCTCCGTATCCCTGTTAAGGGATAACCACAACGTTTGACTAAGTTTGAACAAGCTCCGAGGCTTTTGTTACCCTGAGATCATCAACTATGTCTTCCATAAATTTTTTTAGCATAATAATCCCTGAGTGAGGAAGAATTGATGCTAATTTCTTGATTTTTTAAAGCCAGATAACTAACTTATAAAACTAATTACTTCGTGAGATGCGTAACTAGTCATTCAAGTAACCGGGCTCCTCAGACTTGATGCACATATACGACAATCAGTTCACAGAAACTGCCTCAACTCAACACCTCGTCCTTTGTGTTCTAGTTGAACTCAGATCTTTGTCAACTATCTTAAGTGAATCCCCAAGCGACAAGAGTTCGTTTTAAGAAAAACATCGAATTCTCACAGCATTCACATTACAACATTGGTGAGACCCGAGATTCGAAATTGTGGCCCGGAGCCACAACCACGCTCCGTAATATCGACGTTTATTTGTGTGCGTACACACCTGAACAGGCACATGTTCAGTCCAATACATGTAAACAGAGATGCATGCCCATGTGCATAGTTCTTGTGACTGAATGGTTGTATTCACAAGCGTGACTAGTGGTAGCACAGTTACAGATGATGCACAATCAATCAGATTGATACTGGGGTTTACGTTAACTGTAATCAGTGTGCGTTCGTTCAACGAATGCAACAAACTGTGGTGTATAATGCACAACTTGTCTCGTTCTCAAACTACTCTCTTCACTCGTATTGCTAAATGTGCTGTAGTCTGTGTTTCGCACAAAAAGTAGGATATCTGGTACACTAAGTACAGACTGCAAAACGGAAATGATGATTTGTGCTACAGTGCAGTCGTCATCCAACGATTGGATAACTGGTGATAACCCATAGGATGTCTTCAACTGTAATCATGATTTAGAGTTTCTGGTTAGCTGAAATGAGGACCAGGAGAGCAAAAAGACCATTACATTAAAGAAATGGGGGGATTTTAATAACTTTGACTTTCAATACGTTTGACCTTCGACAGCATATCTCACATGTAGCCCCAACAAGACAATCTGACTTGTCTAGCATCACTTAATCCGATAGCAGAGAAAGGGTACTGAAGTTCTCACTATTTGTCAACGTTAAATATACTTAGAATGGACTAGGAGTACTTTGCAGTCTAAATCCTATATACATCACCGGTTTGTGAACAAGCATGCTGCCAATGAGATAACAATAATACCAGAAAAAGAGATTAGGTTATAATGAGAACGATGTGAAGAAACCAATTACAGAAAATCAGAAGGACAAGTAAAACAGTGAAGTATTCTTTTGTTTGTTTCAGATTGAAGCTTGCAATATGTTCTGCGTGTTATTTTGTCGCTCTATGTGAACGGAATTTAAATAGGTAGACCGTAAAGCATTCAGGGTCACTGACTTCTATTCTGAACCGTCTCTCTATATGTTTTGGACCCCAATCTGGATGGTGGGTTGCACCAATCAAAGCGCTAACTGAAAATAATTCATGCTCTTACTCCAAGTAGTCTGACAGCCACAATGCTTCTTCTGGCCTTTCCCAACGTGTAGAAAGAGCACGGAGAGGCAGACGATGGACGGGCATAAGCAAAACACGACCGAGTCACTGGAGGCGATGTAAAGCGATTTCCTCCTTCGGGGAACTACTATCAGTACCCAACACACGACGACCATCCTCGTCATTGCTCACCCGATATTACCAGAAGACACGAGCAATACTTCAAAGACAGCGTCACTCGAGCACAGAAAGTTGA